CCCCGTTTCCCTCCACAAGGACAAGCCAGTGGCTGTCAAATGGGTAAAGCAAAATCATAAAGAAACTTTATTCTGCAGCTACAAATACTAATACTTCAGAGGGAAAGAGGACATTTGCTTACACTTTTCTGGATATAATTAATGTTTCTTTGTTACAGCTATTTTTTTCCCCTGTAAATGAAACAAGGTTACTTATGTAGGATGGGATGTAATAAAGAAAAGGGCCCCTTCGAGCATCTCCAGCTTGCCTCTTTGTGCTACTGCCTGTTGTTGGTTGTGCTGCCTGAGGCACAGCTGCTATAATAGACTCCAGCTCTGGGTTTGTCCCGGAGACCTGTTATTTTAGGCTGTTTGCAGACTGAATATAATAATGCATTGAAAAGTTAGCTTTACAATCAGAGAACTAATACGAGTTTTAAAGAGTTACATTATGCGGAAATCTTTCAGAAAATGAAAATCAACAAGGTAAATGGATCTTCCTTCAGTGTGAAAACATTGGGGATTTCTACTTGAATACATTTTAGGAATGCATTACATGGAAGTGTGTTCCTCTCTCTTTATAGTTAAAGCTTTCAGGGCTCAGAGATGACAGTTTACATGCCTGCAAAACCAGAAATGGACTGAGATGTATGTTTTTAGAATAATAGTAATAAATTTCAGATACTCTTAACCTGGAAGAGAACTAAATGCAGCTTTGGTGATGCTTGCATATTGGAAGCATGTAGTTGGTCCATTGTGGAAAACCAACTGAATGACAGCAGGACAATAATGGCACCATAGACTCTTACTCTAATGAAAACCTATTGGATAATCTCTGTCCTTGAGCTGGCATTAGAGACAGAAGGTCATTGTGATAAATTTTTTTGTTCCAGAATCAATGTCTCTCACATTGATGTAGACTTCACATTAGCTTTGGGTTGTGTGCTTATGTTTGATGAACAGCAGTAGAGTATTGTCATCTGGCAGCCTATAGTTCTGTGTAAACTCATGCTTTTTTATTAAAGGCCATCATTTCAAAAGAAGTTAACATCTACATTTCTCAGTAAAGGCAATGCTTATGGCTGCTGAACCTATCTAAAAACTAGCCACTTACCTACATGCCCTAAAAGAAGCTAAACATATTTTTGAAAACTTGACTTCCAAGTATAAACGATAACGTAAGTTGAAAAGCAGGCTCTTAAAACATTGTAGGGGAATAACTGTAGAACTCCTTGACCAGTGTTTAATGCTAGGATTTTTTTCCTGATCGATAGAAATATGAATAGTGTTTCATTACTTAGCACAGAACATGCCTTGTAGTCTAATGCACAAACAAAATGTTTCTCTTTCAGGTATTATTCCCCTGGATATTCTGAGATACTTCTGGAAAGGGTGGAAAATTACCATCCAGTTTTATAAACTTCAATTTTTTTATTAGAGCTGTATTTCACATTTATGCCTTTATGACTGTAATACAAATACAGCTGTTGAAACTCTTGTTTGATTCTGAAATCTCCTTCTACTGTTTGAACTACTGAAAGAGCTCAGCAATTCCAGCGAGCTATATTTTGCTCTTTATAAACTTGTTTGTTGCTAAGTTTTAGTTCCTTTTTGTTTTTCTCTAACATTACTACCAGATATTGCAGCGTATATGAATGGAATTTCATGCAGGGGTGATGATTTATCACAGCAGCTTTTTTAGAATGTCATTTCCTTTTCCTTCCACAAGAAAGGTTTGTTATTATCTCATTCAAATTTTAGCCTTCTCAATACTGTAGCCATTTTCCCCTTTTGCCTTGCATATTGTTTAGAGCTTCCCAAGCTTGATGAGGGGGAAAAAGCTGGCCCCTGCGCTTTTTCTAATTATGGAATCCATTCTGCACTGAGATGTCTCTTACTGCTACCTTTCAGAAAGTAAAGCGATGTGATTTTGCATCTCTGAACATATTAGTAGCTGCTAAATAAAGACATAATCAGACCTGATGATGATAAAAGGGCTGAATTCTGCATGATGTGATAGTGTGGTGGTCCTGGCATGGTAGATAATACATCTTCTGCGAAAGTCCTCCTAATTAAGGCAGGATTCACTGTGGAGGGAAGAAGCAATACGCTGTTTGGTGTATGCATCGTTGTTCCTCTTGGAAAGGACAGAGTGAACTTAGAACTTCCACGGGCACAAAGGGAAGGACCCTGGGAGGTTTGGCTCCATTTGGGTCAGCAGCAAATCTGTGCGGCTCAGAAGAGAGGAGAATTGCTTGGCTGCGGGAACACTGTTAGCAAAGTTCTGAGCACATTCAGAGGAAACCTGAGGATACTTGAGTCCCACTGATTTGAGTGATGGGATTAAGGCTGCTCAGTGCTTATTCTTCAAGAGCTGAAATTGCTGCAGAATTGAGTTGAAACACATTTGGAACTTAGTCTTGAAGTTGCAGATCACATCAACATGGAGGTTATTGGAGGTATGAGCTCTTGCCTGTAACATCCTGGAAATATTTTTGCCTTCTTATGTAGAGTGGAAAGACTTTTACATTCTGCTTACTCCTCTGGTGTACTGTAGCAGCAGGGAGCAGCATACAACCTTTCAGTATTCCCTAATATGTAACTGCCATTTACCATTTTTTGTTCTTCTAACCATTTTTCTTTTCCTCATATGCAGCAGTTTTCTGTGGTTTGTTCCTCCCCCCCGCCCCAGGAGTAATAAACAGTGTTTCTGGAATGGGATGTTGAAATACTGGCAGGCACAAGGAAAGACAATATTTGAAAACCCCCGCAGGAGAGAAACTTGTCTACTTTCTTAAACATACTAACTGAATGAGTTTATAAAACAGGGATAGTCTCTTCTATTACTTGTAAAACAGGAGCAAAGACTTATTGCAGTTGGAAATGATTTAGAGTGGCTTTTCTCTGCCAGATTCCAAATGACTATTTTCTTTTATTCTTGTCAGCATATTTTTCAGCAGTTCACAAAAACATTGATGGGCTATCTTGTGTTAAGGTTTAATTCTACAGAGGGCTGTGCTCCCGCTGTGAGGTACTTGGTGCTCCCAGACTCTGCTCTTCAGGAGGAGCAGGGGATGCACAGTACCTTGCTGTATGGAGCCTAACTGAGACGGAAACTGTTGGTGTCACGAATGCTGGTATAGAAACCACACCAGCTGGGTTCTTTCCTTAACCCACATCAGAGTGAAAAGTCTTGGCACTGACTAGCTTCTACCAAATGCCTTTTTGTTTTTGGTGTTTATATTCTGATATTATTAATGCTAGGACACTAGCGGAAAAACATTAGGTCTATTAAAAAGATTGTTGTAATACTCAGTAATTTTCTCACATGCATTATGGATATTTAAAAATCAAATCTTGTGCAATCTCTAAAAGAAAATGTAATGGAAGGGCTTCCAAGCAGTGTTGAAGGATCTGAAGCCTTTATTTTCCCTAACGGAACAGAAATGGTGCAGAGGGCTGAATGCAGTTGTAGTGCAGATGGGAGGCAGGGTAGGCATGGAGCCGCGTACCCATAGCTGCATCATGTGCTTGGGAGCACACCCACACCACACAATGCTAATGTATATGTTTTGTGTGGAGAGAGCAAAGAGGCTTCAGTCCCCTGACAAATGTGCTCCTGCTGTGTCACACTGTGCTACACTGTAAGGATTCCACAGGGTTAAATTTCAATGCCTAAACAATTTGTTCACAGTCTTTTCACAGTCTTTTTCTGATTCCTGACAAAGGAAATGATTGCACAAGGCAAACCTTCAAAGCGATCTGATTGTGCAGAGCACAATCTAAATCAGACCTAGCATAAATACATCTTTACATCAGCTAGGCAGTTCTGTCCTAGGCCAGTGGCTGTTTGGCCTCTTGTCACAGGACTCTCCTGGATGATGCCATATCCCAGTAGGCTATGGCAGTGCAAGGTCCCCTCCCACATACTTTGAGACCCCCTCAGCGTTCCTTTGCTGGCAGGCTGCTTCCCTGCATTGTACGTACACCTTGTGGCTGGAGGCTTCCCTGGAGGTACGCGTCTGCACAAGACAGATCTAGCCCTTTACAGCAGAATTATCACTAATTTGTATTTTAGGCTTACATTACGAGGGCAAGAGTTGCTTTTTTCCTGTAGTGTTTCACAAGCTCTGATGTACAGCGTTTCTATTCCATCCTCTAATTTGGCTTAAGTTGTCATCTAAAACTATATTAATGTTTGTAATTGCTTCTCTGGCAGGCTTCAAGTGTGTATCATTTGTCTCAATTTCATAGAATAAAACGTAGATTTGCATTTTAATTCATTGTGTAAATGCTGTTTTCATGGTAGTTTCTGACTATGATGCTAGAAAAGATGAAGAACAGGCTCATTTTGCAGCTTGAGCCTGACACCACCTTTGCGTGTTTGTCTCAGCTTACCTCTCAACAGTGCCTACTTCTAAGCTTAGGACATACAAGCATTTCAAGTAAGAATCCCTCTCACAGAGGTGGATTATTAAGACACACAAAGAAAATTAAGCCAAAGCTTTGGCAGAAATAAATGTAAGTGGAGACAGCGCTTAAATAATTTTGCCAGTTCTTTTGACTGCTGCGTTGGGACTTTTCAACCCAAGTCTTTAAAGATCTTGTCTGGGGGCCTGAGCCATGATTTTTGTCTACATTACTACAGCTATTATTACATCTACAGATGTAAACCAGGGCCTTGAAAGAACATGTGGATGTGTAAAACTTTACCATATTTCATTCAGTGGATGGATTAACTGGCCTACAAAAGCTCCATTCTTTATCTGAATGACTGGAAACCAAGAGGATCTGAAAAGGGGAAATTCAAGGAGTTCAACTCTTGTGCATATAATATGTTCTGCATTTCCAGAGGGATTTACCAAGGGATTGCTTTGTCTCATCTGAAGTGATCAATCTGCTGGAGATCTGCATCTTAACAAACAAACGAATGAAATGTTGAAGGAGCTGAATGGAACTGGTGAAGGAAGAAATTAATCTCATTTTGTGAAGTAAAGCATAAAGTTACTGTAATGAGGAAGCAGACGGAGTGTGGGCAGATCCTCAGTGTTCTTGATTTGGTGTAGGGGGTTGTGAATTAGCTTGGCCAAAAGGGAGTTTTAGGCATGGAGGGTGCCGTGGGATAGCCTTCAGCTTCTGGTGTAAATTGGAGTCCTCTGATTTCGGGGCATGTAGGGGTGGCTGACTATTGTCCCTTCAGTTGAGGAATCTGTGAAAACATGCTTGCCTCAGTATCTTCCTTAATGGCTGACTGGTGTCCAGTATCTTGGTTGTTAGAATTTTAGATCTCACTATGTGACCAGGGTAGAAAGGAAGTATGGAGTAGCACTAGGCTGCAAAGCCAGTGGTTCCACTTCTTGCACTGACATAGGATTGCTTTTATGGTCTTGGATAATTATTACAAATCCCTATGTATCATCATCTTCAGCTGTGAAGTATCTGTTACACTCGTTTGTTAACTTGCAGAAGTGCTGGGAAAATTAAATTCATATGAGAGGTCGATGCAGCAGAACTTAAGTTCTTTATAACTAATACCATATTCAGAAAGGAATATTGTTCAAGAACCTACAAAAATTTACCTAAGAAATCTTTGAGATGCTGATTTTTAGAATTTGACTTGAACTAAAAGCCAGTGGATTTTGTGAGTTTCCTCACCTGACACAATTTGAAGGGATCTTGGAGAAAGAGGAAATTACGACGTCTCTCATGACTATACTGAAACTATTGATGTCATTTTTGTATAATACTTAACTGTTAATATTGATGCTACAATGCTGTATTCTGCAGTCAGCTCTATAATTTAGCTAGTGAAAATACTAATTACATTATTACCACTCTACTGTATTTCTAGATACTGCACAAAAGATTGAATTAGAAAATACATATATGCAATACTAAAGCATATTTTGATGATGAGAATGCCTTTTAACACCGGAAATGGTACTGTGCTGCCTTTCAGAAGAAGTTACTCTTACTTGGGTTAAACACATTTTGTAGTTGTTTGTGTTCCCTCCCACCTAGAGGTCCGATCACGAGGCTTGCTGAGTGCTCAGCGAAGTGCTGAGGACCATGATCTACTGTCTGTAGCAGAAACCAGTTGTGTTCACTGTCATGCATCAGCAAGCTATGGAGAGGAACAATGTGAGTGTACTAATGTCATCATCTTAGCAGATTTCCACAGAGATTTTGAAGGCTTGCTTTTTCTTCATAAAAATACGCTTGTTCCTACTAGTTCCTACCTCCAAACGGAGTTAAAGAATAGGTACCCAGATTAACTTTAGCTATTCTATATTTTGTTCCTTTAATAACAAAAATTAAGTTTTGAGAGGGGGAGAAAGTGTGTTAATGTCTTTCTTTAAAACAAAGTTATTGATTATTTTTTGTGTCAATATCAGCGACAAAACTTTTTGTAATCTTGTGACAAGATCTGTGCCCTTTGCTCCCAAGGAAAGTTTTGTCTTCACTGATAGAGGCTAGTGATGTGTTTTATCCCTGTTGTCCTATTTATAATTAGGTCTGATGGCCTCTGTACATGTTCACCTTTCAATATTAGGTCAATGTTAAAGCCATTGTCAACCTAAAGGGTTGGATTACTACCAAGATTCAGCCTCCGTTGCCCCACAGTGCTATAAATTATATTACAATCTATTGTTAAAAAATAATAATATGCAACATAGAGGTCTGATGGAATCATGTTAATGAGAACACTGAAGCTTCATTGACTTGCAGTGTCATTAGAGCTGTGAGACAGGTTTATGGCCTTGTGCAAAGTATATTTGTGTTGGTTTAGACACAGTATTTATTTGGTCACACCCAGCCAAATGTTTCCTTACTAAATTAAAATAAATGCTGGTTAGTTCAATGAGCTACAAAGTTATATAGTGTAATTTCAGGTTCTCAAGTCACAGAAAATAAGCCCCAACAATGGAAATCAGTAGAGGATCAAAAATGATGGATATACTAGAGTGAATATGAACAAAGAGGGAACGGAGTTTACTGAGTTGGGCGAAGTTAATTTTTTATTACTCAAGCAATGTATAAAAGTTGGAAAGAACAGCTCCCATCCGTAGTCTGCTCTGATCTTTATGTAACCCCTCCCTGTATACACGTACATACACACTTGCAAGCATGGTCAACCAAAAGGTAATCGTAACAATTTCTGTCTTTGCTTTCACAGGACTTGCCTCTGTAAAGCATCTTTAGTGGCTGGAGGAGAGCAGGTCATTGGCAGGTCCTCTGCTTACTAATGCCAGCTTTATGGTACTAATTTCCATTAAGGTCAGCAGCACCCACCTGATTTCCATTGCAGTGAGAATCAGGCACTGGATCTGCATCACCTGTACTCCTTTGTGCTCTGAACAGCTCTGCTTCTTGCTGGAAACAAAGCAGAAGTGATAAAATGACTTTCTTTTTTTCTTCCCCAGCAGTGCTTCAAATGAGGGAATGGTAGGAAAATCTTTCTAGAGCTTTTGGGGAATGGCTCATGCTCTGTGTTGGAGACTGAATCCCCAACCGTGCAGGGCATGAGATAGAAAGAAAGATGAGAAGAATCAGTAACAGACTGGTGTTGCAGCTATTACCTGCTTTGGGAAATGACTATACAAGGAAGCTTCAAGTTTTCTATCTCCTTTCATGAGTAACACCTCCTTGCTGTAGCCATCTCTGAGTTTGGTCATGGAGCTTGTCTCTGCCTCCTGCTTTGGGGCCAGGTGGTTGCATCAGTTGGTGACACAGTGGCAGTGCTGCTCATGCCAGCCTAGTGTTGGATCATGATTCCTACAGACATTTTCATTTTATGGGAATGGAAAGGAGCATAACTCCAGCGATTCTATAAGCAGTTTAACAATATGAAACGTTCTTGCTTTCAGTCACTCCAAAGCAAATCCTACGCCAGCTTATCTGTGAAGACTACAAGGGCTTGGAGCACACCAGAGACAGGGAAATTTGGCAGTGGGAGGCTGGACAGGGTTCAAGGAGAACAGGCCTTGTGCCTGTGCTGCTTGTATGCCATCATAGCCAGAGAGATGGAGCTGGAATCAGTCTGTCCTTAATTGCATGGGTTAAGACCCCACCCTGCCCTGGAAAAGGCAGAGTACAGCATATACGCATAGGGCTGAGAGGAACTATAGATTCTTCTCCCCTCCTCCATCCCACATTCGTTTGGCAGCAGTGCACCAACCGTACCTGGTTGGGTCTGGCACAGGGAGGACTTCCACCTCCTCAGGATATCCCAGGGGTGTTGTTCATTAGTGCTTTGAGGTTGAAAACTGCTGTGAGTGCTAAGTGTTATTACTGTTTACCGATGTGATCAATGTGTAGCTGACCTTAAATCATTTTCTTGTGGTAATTCCCTTGGTTAAAGTGGAGAAAATGAACCGTTTTGATGACAGTGTTTTAAGAAGCTGCCATTTCAGAAGCTATAGCTATGCCTGTGATACATCGCCCTGTCTGACATCAAGGGTGGAAACTTGGCTTTCTGAGGCGTGGAGCTCCAGTTTGGACCATCTCCCCATATTTATGTATCTTTTTATACCAGACATAACCTACTAGTAACAAAATCTGTTAAAATTTTTGCCATTGACTCGAATTATCATGAGGTCATGAATCATTATTTTAGGTCTAGCCCTTCCCCCTCCAAGTGTTTTTTAAAATCCTGATTTTGTGTTTATGCTAATGTAGTCATGCAATGGGAATGTTTGGTAAAATTGCTGTTTAATTTACAATAGAAGAAGGCTTTAGCAGCTGTTTTATAGCAGTTTAACTACTCTGACCTAAATAACTGTTCTTAAGAGATTGAAAAGTAATTGAAAAGGTGAAAAAGTCCAGGACTGTCCTCTCTTTTTTTTTGCATTTTGTGTGTTTCTTTTTTAAAACATCTTTGAAACCGCTTTATAAACAATTTGAGTTCCTCTGCATAATTCAGATGAGAGAGGAAAGAATGCCAGTTTACTGGGACTTGTTCTCTGACCACCTGAGAAAAAAGGAGTTTTTCATCCTCTTGAACATCATCTGGAGTTACAATAAAATGTGCTCTCAGCTGGATTCCTTCTGTGTGAAAATAGACAGAGCTACATCATTGCACACCTAAAGGAAGGACACAGAACTACAAAAGCAATCTGAAATCTGAATTTTCCCTGCTCCTCGGAGACCACAAGTAACTTTCTGTAATCTTAATAAAAATTATTTGAATCTTGAAGGAGGGATATACTTCTCCCTTCAACCTGAGTAGTCCAAAGGACCAAAGCTAGAGATCCTTTTATACACAGCTGAGTCGCCTGT